ACGAGGAAGGCGAACAACAAAACAAAATCAAACTCATATCCGCCAAGATCCACCCTACTCATAGAGAAGCACCACTCTCCTGCAAAACAAGGTAAAAAAAAAAACCAAAAGTAAACAAAAAACCACACGGCCGGGAGGCTAGAGACCGCCAGGAGGCGGCCCACCCAACTCCGGCCCAAAAAACCTTTAATGATCCATATAATGTTATGATATATATAATTACTGAAAAACTAGTTCTCACCTGCATGCAAAAAACAATTAATTAATTGGGGTTTGAGCCAATTCCAAAACCCTAATAATGTGTCAAGGTTTGGTGGGCATATGGCTCGGAGCTCCTCTTCCCACAGATAAGAGTGTCACATGTCATGTCCTCGTTAATTGTACAATTTTCCTCTAATATAAATATATCTATCTATTAAATAATTAAATTCCAATTTTAATTTCAATTCATATTTGTTCTGAAAATTAAAATGAATATTTTTTTAGGTGTAACAAAATTATTCATTGTGCTTGATAAAATAAATAATTACCCAACAAACAATTACATGCACCCAAGTCTGAGAGACATTATCAGTTAGGCATACCTGATATAAGAAGACTGTTTATGTTCTGAAAAGCTAAAAGTAGTCAAGAAAATTGCATTAATTCATCTGAGAAAATTATGAAGCTAGCAAGGAGTCAATATTAGCATATATAATCTAAGTTCTCGTTGTTAATTTTTATTTTTGTCATTATGGAAACAGATTCTACAGAATTTGTGAGTCTGTACATTAAAAACTAGCCGCACGCGATATAAAATTGTTTCAATCACAAATCAGCCCATTGAAAACTTATCCAGAGCAAATTCACTTTGCGGGTTTGAATTGACGAAAAGTTGTTAAAACCAAAAAGTTTTAGACCTATGTAATTTTATTGTGGTTCAAACTGGTGTTTGAAAGTGTAAAACTTGACCATGAAATAAAACATAACATGAGAAATAAAGTTTAAACTGGTGTTTGGTTAGTGTGAAAATTATAAATATAGAAGCCATAGTTTTAAAGTTTAAACTAAAAATACTAAAGCAAATAAGTTCAAAACCATGAAAGCATAAGGTGGGGTTAATTTCTACAAAATAAATTTTAAAACTCATCTACGATGCTTCTAAATTCACAGCACATGTTCAAAGAAAAAAAAAACCAAATATTGGCTCACACTTATTCATGTGTTCAAACCTAATAAATCTGTGAAGGAAACGAGCCACTAATAATTTAAAGAGTAATTTCTATTGCTATTTTAAAGGATCAATCCTACCATAAAATAAATTAAAGATGTCAAAACGAGCCGAACATGGTGAGTTGACACGAGCATGATGCATTAAAAGTGGGTACGACACGACACGAGCATGTTAAAACCACAATGAAAGGCCCAATTAGTGAACATGAAGTATAAAGAAAAAATAAAGAATTTACCCTTAAATGTGCATGAGTCATGACTCTTTTGTTAGTGTTATTATTTAACTAAAAAGGTTAATGAATCAAGAGTAAAAGATAAAAATCTTGACACATGCACTTTTAAGAGGTATTTATCAAGATTGTCCAAATATTAAAGTAATTTTATTATGTGTTTCGGGTAGAGTTTTTAGTGATACAAATTTTTTAATTAATAATGTACTTTCTTCTGTTAAGATTATAATGTTTTATTAGGTTAAATGCTTATTTTCTTATGCTAAATGTAAATTTAATATTTTGCACCACAAACGCATTAAGAGAATGATAAAAGCACAAGCATAGGTATGGGACGAGTACAATCTAAGCACGTTAGAGGCACTTATAATTATAAATAAATGAGTCGTGGTTCACGTTTGTTTGATGGATTTAAAATTATGATTCAGAATTATTTTTAATTTACGTGTATTTTTTTGTAAAAAAATACTATAATAAATCACAAATCATAATTTAAATCATAATAAGAATACACCAACCAAATGCACTCTAAATTTAACGTCATAAAAATTAAATGGGACAAGCCCAACATAACATAATAATGGCCCGTTCACTTCACTGATTCGAGTTTGTAATTCAAATTGAGATGTGATTTTATGTGAGAACTTTTTACTGTAATAAAAAAATTAAATGTGACTATTTTAAAAAAAAAATATTATAATAAAATTAAAATTTTAAATTCAAATTAATAAAATGAACGGGACATAAATAAATGAACCGTCATAAAAATTAAATAAGACAAACCCACCACAACATAATACATAAATGAACCGGCCGTACGAGGTATGGATCCAATTTAAAACAAATCAGGCAGGCCAAGTCAACACCATTGCCATCTCTAAAAGAAATTAAAACAAAAAAAACAAAAAAAAAAAGAAACAAGGATGAATCCTAACATAAAAATATCCATGAAAGAAATAAAACGGTGGTTGTAGAATTATATAACGTCTTGCATCAAGATCTGTTTTCTTCAATAACGATGCAACTGCCGTAGGCCCGGAGCCCTTTTGCAGTTACACAAGAGAAAGACACATGTTCTCCTTTCTTCGAAAAAAAAAAAAAAAAGATATTTTACTCATTCAAAAGATTCCTTTTAACTTTGGCGCTCTCACACTTTGAGAAGTCAATATTGCACTTGGCTAATAACCACACTCAACTTCAGCAAAACGTTAAACAAGAAACATACGTGTCCAAGGTTTCCTATCAAATCTGTGAAGGGCCAATTGCAGTACATACCACCTGTTTGATCCAAAATTTGTTTGGGAGGCTCAATTGAGATCATATATTACAACGAACAATTTTCAGATATACCCATTCGGTTCATTAATTTGAGTTTTTAATTCAAATTGAGATGTGATGTTGTGTGAAAATTTTTTACTGTAACAAAAAAATTAGATATGACTATTTCTAAGAGCTTTTTACTGTAGAAAAACTCGAATGGTGTGAGTGCTTTGAGTGTAGGATCAGTAATATGAGTCACGATATAATAATACGACTTAAAAACGATACGAATTTCACAAGTTAAAGTTGAAAAAAAAGAGATTCGGATTAAAATTAGGTCGATCTGAAATTGATACGAAAAAAAAGATCAATTTCAGGTTGGACCCGCATAACCCGAACACGACACAGAACTCGTAAAAAATTAAAAAAAATACATATTTTTTTAATTACATATTTTTTATTTTATTATAAACTTGTGATATCATGATAATTATACTCAAAATCTTATACTATTATTTACTTAATTTCAATGGATGTTATTGTATTTTAGTGTGTTATGAATTTTAAGTTATTTTTAATATGTAAAAAATTAAATAAAAATATATAATTTTTATGTCAATTTTGTGTCACGAATAATTTTTATATCATGTCGTGTTAACTTATAAAGTGATCATATTATGTTTATATTATTATTTTTAAAAAATAAAATAATTAAAATACGGTATGAATACGATAAATTACCATTCTTACTTGAGTGGTTAGACACACGTGAGTAGGTACATATATCTATTAATATTCGAATTTTATGTTATATATATATATATATATATTGAAAAGTGAGAACAATGGGTCACACCGTATACATTATTTATGAAAAATATATATTAAAATAAAAAAGAAAAGTCTTCTTAGATATGTTTATAGAGTAGACAGATAATCTTTCACTTTAGTTGGAACCCACAAAAGCTTGGCACCAAGTGTATGTGTCAAGCAAAGGAAGCCACGTCTATAGCTCCACTAACACACGCAAATCTTATCCATTTTGTTTGAAACTTCGCTGCATTTATTCAACAAATCCAGTTCTGCAGTTACTCGTTTGTTGTGTTGTGCAGCCCTCTTTGAAAAAGCAACAAACCCCACTAACTTTTTTTTTTCACTTTTCTCAAATGTCTAAGATTAAGGTCTCATTTACTTTACAGATTTAAATTTTTAATTTAAATTGAGAAGTGATGTTTTTTTAAAATTTTTAACTGTAGTAAAAAAAGTTAAATGTGACATTTTTTAAAAATTTTTAACTGTAAAAATTTAAAATTAAAAACTCAAATCGATAAAATAAACGAGACCTAAATCACGTTTAATTCATTAATTTTTATATAAATTTTTTTTATTATAATAAAAAAATTAAATGTGATTATTTTTAAAAAAATTTACTATAATAAAATTTAAATTTTAAATTTAAATTAATAAAATAAACAGAGCATAAAAAGAGACCAGAAAACATTATTTTAGAATAATTTGGATATCCAACGCATCAAACCACAGTTTAAACCACGCACAGACAGCAGGTTTTTTTTTTTTTTTCCAGCTTAATCTGAATCTTTTGCATCCTTCTGCGTTAAGATGTCGTACAAGTCATTCATTCATTTGTCTGTTAAATCTAAAACTCAAAATCACTCTAAAATGAAAAAATATGCAAAATTAAAAATTTCTGATATAAATTTAATAATTCAGAAACAAAAATTTATCAAAAATTTATCATTTCAAGTCCTGCCATAAAAATCTTTAAATATGTTTATTTCACAATTTAAATTTTTTATTTTAATTGTGTACGTGAGGAAAAAAAAAAAAAACATTTTTCACAACTTGAGTTATGACAGTTGAAAAAACAAGGCTAAAATATTTTACATATCACGCAACTGACTTTCTAAACCCCAAAAAACTTTTGAACTTTTGTACGATGGCTACATGAACACCCTCAGTAAATTTTATGTATATATCTATTGATTTAAATTTCAAAACCAATATTGTCAAAAATATATAAAAGTCACGAGTTTAATCCAGTAAGTTGAGATGCGAATGTTCCAAAGAGCGTGTTGATTTAATAACAAATACGGTACAACCTACTACAACATTCTCAGCTATAAAAAATATAAAAAAATAAAAAAAAAATAAAGAAGAATAGGTGAGGATTCAAACACAAATCCAATACAAAAGACTATATTCTCTTATAAATAATTAAGTGGGAAAAACTAAAATAATCCATAGAAAAAAAAACAAAAAAAACCCAAAAAAAAAAAAAAAAAAAAAAAAAAAAGATCTTCCATCTATGAATATAAGACTAATAATTTTTACAATCACAGAGGGAGAGATGGGCTTTCTCTCAAAAACATAAAAAGAGCAAACTAACATAACACACAATTGTTTGCTCTTTGATATTATCAGAAAACCAGCAGGCCGGGATCCAAAAAAATAAATCCAAACGCCTGCAACTCCATGGGAACACTTATTTGTTTACTCAACCTTGGTGATCATTTTGACATCTAAAACGGATATTACAAGATGAAGAAAAACCACAAAAGTGTGCTGTACATGGATATACGGGGATGGCGAAAACCAACCCCATCATCTCCCGGCAGCGACTAAGGTTTTATCCTCGGAATCTCGGGCAAAACTCAAACCTCTTGGCACGACAAGTTCTTTGTTCGAAGAAGATGGCTCTGCTTCCGCCGCAACTACTTGCTCAGCAGGGGCAAGGGCAGGGGCAGGCACAGGCTCAACAGGTTTGGGAGTGTAGGTAAAGGAAAGATCTTTGTTCGCGGCGAGAGCTATGAGTTCTTTCTCCTCCAGCCCTTTCGGCAGAGCGAGGCCGCAGCGATCCGGACTGTGCTTAGCCAATGCATCTTTGAATTTCTTGATCTACAATACCAACACTAGTGAGATAGTGATTTAACACGACGAAGACACGAATTCACAAATTGCATGAAAACCCTTTTTGTATTTTGGAGTAAGATACAAGAAAAAAATAATCAAACAAGTAAGGACCTCAGAGTTTGTGTTAAATGGATCACAAATCTAAGACGAGGAATAGGGAAAATCCCAAATCCAAAATGATTCACCAAATTTCATGAACAAAAAGAGACTATTTCCACTATTGAAATTACGACATAACAAGTATAGAAAGGGGTTACAGAAATTAGTTCATGAATCAAGAAAACAAACACTTACCGTGGCGTTGGTACAGCTAAAGCTGCAAAGACGGCCATGAGCGCCTCGATAAAAGCGGAAGAAAGGCAGAACATGAACATTGAGGCTATAACACATGGATTTGTGCTCCTCATAGTTCACCTGAATGAATTGAACATCTGGGTTCATCTCTGCAAACTGACATATCTGCCACAAGGAACCCACACAAACACATAATCAACAAACAAATTACAATTAACACTAATTGGGTTCAAAACAAATTTCTCACTCAATTCTTCTACGAAAAGCACATAGAAATATATGAAACTGGTCATAATGCAAAACCAACAGAACCTGATAAAGATCTAACGGTTCAAAATATCATTTTCACAATTCAAAGAACATAAAATATATTGCACAAATATATGGCAGAAACCAGAAAAAGAGAATAATTGATACCTTGGGATGAAGAGCTTTGCAGCCTCCACAACCAGGAGAGAAGAAGTCAACAACAACAAGCTTATCACCAGCTTTGAGCAAGGAATCTACAAGGTCTTGTGCAGATGTTACCTCCTTCATATTTGGTTGTAGCCCTTTTCCCCACCATTTGTGAGCTTTCCCAATTCGAAGCGCTGTCTGTAAATCAAGAAGGCCATTATTAAAAAAAAAAAAATGAATTTTCTTAACCCTGAAATTTTTATTAGATATACTCGAAATCAATTTTTGTGTAAATCAAGAAGGCCATTATTAAAAAAAAAAAAATGAATTTTCTTAACCTGAAATTTTTATTAGATATACTCGAAATCAATTTTTGTATTTTTTTCCTTTCTTTTCTTTTATTCTTTTTATTTATTTATTTTTTGGTGAAATTGAAATGAAAAACGGTAAAAATACTTCTTTTTTTGTCTTTTCTTTTTTTTTCTTTTGGTGAGAATCGATCAAAACAATTCTTTAGAGAAGAAAAATAGCAAGTAAAAAGGAAAATGTTTCCCATAGCTCCCGATCAATTATATATAAATATAATATATATATGTTTTTTTTTTTTGAGAATAAGCCTCAACCAATTTCCTTTTTTTTTTTTTTTTTTAGTTTCGGCGATTAAAATCAGAATAAGTCAAAAAAATCTTTTGCATAAATAATAATAAAAAATAATAGTGAGAATACATCGCAGATATGAGTCTCTTTTCGATGATCGAGGGGAAAAATGAAAGAATTAAAAAAAAATCAAATAAACCAACCTGGGCGTTTATAGTGGATGCTTGGGATGGGGAAGTCCTTCTGGGTTCTCTCTGAAGAACAATTCTCTTTCCATGAAAATCACTGTTGGACGAAAACGACGTCGTTGAAGGGTTGGATTTGAGCTTCAGAGAACAACAAGGACCTGATTTGATGAAGTTACAACTCTTGGGAAAGACAGATATGCTTTGATTTATTGAAGAAAAAAGACTCGTTTTGCTCAAAACGTCAGCCATGGGAGAAGAAGAAGAAGAAGAAAAAGACAGAAAATCTCTCACAATTCCAAATTCCTTTGAGACCCAAAAAAAAAAAACGAAGAAAAGGAAAGCCAAAAAAAAAAAAAAAACAAAGAAACTAATTTTGTTGTGAAAAGAGAAAAGTAGTTTGCTTATGAGTGTTTCCAAGCATTTTACAGAGAGGAAAATGGATATAGAAAACGGATTGACACAGGAGAGGAATTTATATATAGGATTTGTGTGGTTGTGTTAGAGCCATTGGATTCAGGGCTGTGGTGCTTTGATCCAACGGCGTGGAGAATCTTCAGAAGAGAGAGTTTTGTGGATTTTGGATGACATCAATTATCATGTGGCTTCGGACTTGGCTTTGGCTTTGGCCTATTTTATCTGAAATTATTTATTATTTTATCCACATTAAGAATTGGTGAACCGTTTTTTACGGTTGGATAAACATGCACGTGAACTGTGCACTTTCGACACGTGGCAGGGAAATGTACTCTTTCTTCTCCGCTAAGCACCTAATCGTCTGTTCGTATGAGAAAACTCGTTATTATGCTCAAAAGAAATTTTTTTTTTTTTTTTAAAAGTTAAAATTGTGTGGGTTTAGTTTAAAGATTCGTGTCATTATTTGAATCATAATTTGTAACTCGTTACAGTATTTTTTCTCATAAAAAATACACGTAAATTGTTTTTTTTTTTTTTAAAAGTTAAAATTGTGTGGGTTTGTTTAAAGATTCGTGTCATTATTTGAATCATAATTTATAATTCGTTACAGTATTTTTTCTCATAAAAAATACACATAAATTAAGAATAATTTTAAATCATAATCTGAATCTATCAAGCAAACGTCCGTAATGATCTATGTTCTTAAACTGTCTTATATGTATTAGTTCGGTAAATTTTTCATTTTAATATAATATTCTGATAGCAAATTATATCAGAATTATTTTAATATTTAAATTTAATTTTAAAATTATTTTTATTTTTTATGTTTATTTTATTTTTAAATAAGATTAGTATTTCATTCATTATAAATAGATTAATGATTCAGTTTTTTAATGATTAATGATATTAAAATTATTGGTTTCTCTTTTTACTTTTCTTAAATTTTTATTTTTCTATTGATTATTTTTCTCTATCTTGATTCCGTTTTTCTTTATTAATCATGTTCTCTCTCTAAATTCTACCTCTGTTTTTATTTTTTATTCTATACGTGTCCTTTGACAAATTATTCTTTTTTTCGTTTTACAAACACCTAAAAAAGAAAAAAAAAATCGATGATAGCCACCCTCAATAGCCGCCACGTTTTGCTTTGCTGAATCTCTGGACTAGGATTGTCTCGTGGGGTGTTATTGCTATTGGGCCTATTGAAAACAGTTTGCCGACCCATAAGTTGCAGACGAAATGGTGAATTTGTGTGGGTGTAGAACTTATTTTAAAATAATTTTTTTTTATGAAAATAGAAATAAAAATGTTTTTAATTTTAAATAGAAATTATTTTTAAAAATGTATTTTTAGTATAAAAAATATATATTAATGTTTTTCTCTCTCTGTGTTTGAGAGAGGAGAAAACGGAAATAAAAAATAAAAAACGATTAAAAATCGTTTTCATTTCTGTTTTTTATCTTTAATTATGTCAAACGCCGTTTCTTTCTGATTTTCATTTTTTTCTCAAAAAACGTGAAAAACAAAAATAAAATCAACTCCAAACAGGGCCTTTGTACTTTTGCCTTGGGTAATTATTTCTTGGTTAAGGTAAATTTTTACCATTTGAAAATTTTTTCTATAACTTTATTAGATGGTAGTTTAGGGCTTGTTTAGTTTGGCATTGGTTACTTCAGCGCCGTAGCGCCTTGGTACTCGAACATTCTCCTCAGGAGGATAGATGGGACAATTCAGGTGAGATCCAATGTAGATCCAACTTTCTATTCACTCGTGGGATCCGGGCGGTCCGGGAGGGACCACCACGGCTCCTCTCTTCTCGAGAATCCATACATCCCTTATCAGTATATGGACAGCTATCTCTCGAGCACAGTTTTAGGTTGCATTTTTAAATTATGGTAACTTGAGTATAGATTTTAAGTTAAATTTGAGTTATAATTTGAGTTGAAGATGTAATTTGAGTTTGTGTTTGAAAGTGCACATTTGAGTTAATTTTTAATTTGAGAATTTAATTTGAGTATGTGTTCGGTACACCTAAACTTGAGTTGTGAATAGTTAAAAATGAATGAGAGGTAATTATTTTTATTTGGAATTTATTATTAAAATAAGGGAAAGCAATTTATGTCAACAATTGCGGTTGAACTTGAACTTGAATCAAGGGAGTGGGGTTGCACTTAAGAATTGCTGCTTTTCTCAAGTATAAATTTGAGTGTTCACTCAAGCAGTCCTTGCTGAACAAAGACTTGGCTCGAGTTTTTACTCGAGTGGCTTTTTTTTCAAGTTTTTAGGGGCAAACGAACAGCCCTTTAATTATGTGTATTGGATCCACCTAAACAAAAACAAAAATCATGAATTTATCACCGTATTACCGTTAACACGATTTGTATGATGATAGGCAATTCACCTATACTCTTGAAATTTCCTATGAACATACGGATGATTATGAGCCAGTTATAAATTACACTGCTTATTTTCACACTTATATCTCGATCAACAATATCCCTTGCGAACTTGTTATTGATGAGGGTAGTGAGATTAATGTTGTGTCAACTAAATTTATCAACCGTTTGAATCTTCAAACTGAGCCTCATCCTAAACCGTTTTGGGTGTATGTGAAAGATAAATGTTATTTTGCAATCACCAAAAAATGTCTAATACCTCTTAAATTTGGTCCTTGGTCCTTATGAGATATATGTTTATGGGAAATAGTAGGAAATAAGCCAATATGAAAAGTTTAAGAAAGTATATAGGCTAATTTTTAGTTATAGAAATTAATAGGCCATAACTTGTCAAGTTATGGTTCATAACCAGATAAGTTATGGACAAACTTGTCAAGTTATGGTTCATAACCAAACAAGTTATAGACGAAAACAGTAATTTGGCATGTTTATTAACTTATGTAAACTATTGGCCTATTAATTTTTATTCATCTAAAGTCTTGACCTATTTACCTCTTTTTCCCTATGTTTATTGTGATGTCCTTCCTATGGATGTTACTCATATTTTGTTAGGACTTCCTTAGGTTGATGATCATGGTGTGAGATATGCCGAAGGGAATGAATATATTTTTCGACATAATAGGAAAACTTTGATCTTGAAACTTGTCAAACCAGAAGATAAATTCTATATGTCTAAGCCTATTATATTTTCCCCAATTTTAATTGAGCCAAATCCATCTATTGAGAGTGTTGATGCAAATAACGAGGTTGTTACGAAAAAACAAAATTATTGATACTCCTTGTCTTGAGCCTATTGTTGATGAGCCACCTCCTCTCAAAACCATTGAATCCTCTTCCTCGCAATCGGTTGTTGAAAGTGGATTTTATGCATGTTTAATTAAATTTCCTTCTAATTTAATTATGGAATTAATTTTCAATGAGGTAGAATTGTTTTCTAACCATAGTGATCCGACATCTCAAGTGTTATTGATGTTTTCTCTATAGCTAGAATGTCTGCAGAATCAACTTGCAATAACCTATGGAGCAGTCCCGTTTGGTTTGGGGATCCAGGACAAAAGATTAGAATCATGTGCTGAAAACATGTTTGGTGTCGTATGGATTGGAGTCATGGACTTGAGTTAAGGTTCATTTTTTGGGTCCTGATTCAAAATCAGGACCCCCCCTGATTCAGCCCAAGACTTTAGTCTTTGTACAATAATTTTACTGTGCTTAAAGCAGTTAATCCTTGTGGCTTTTTCCGCATCTCAGCACTGTCATTTGCAGAGTGGCTTTTTAACAAAGGTGTACATGGATGTGGAATTGTAGATAATGTTGTTATTTTCTTTTTTATCAGTTTGGTTAGCAATATAATATTTCTCACATTTTTTATATATGTTTGGCTTGTTATATAATTTCATTCACATTTTTTCCATTTATTTCTCACTTATTTTGTTATAATTTTGAGTTAAATTATTTGCATAATTTTTTTCTAGTACTTCATTTTTTTAATTATATAACGAATTATATTTTTTAAAATTACACGTAACGAATTATATTTATTACATAATTTTTTAAATTACATTATTTTGGTCATGATTCAAATTTAGAAAACAAAACAACCAAACACTGATTCGAATCACATTTCAGGTTAGAATCAGAATCATGCATATACACATCTAAATGAAGGTTCTAATCACTCTGAATCATGATTCAAATCATGAATCATGATTCTAAAGACTCAAATCACTATAATTTCAATCCTTATACCAAACAGTAGAGTCCAATATTAAGGCCGAGAGATTTCTTACTTTTTAGATTATTGTTTCATGATTCTTTCTAGCTTAAAACTCGCCAGAGTTGAGTTTCTTCAATCCTCCGTCGAGTTTCTTCAACCCGGGGAGAATGATGATGAATTAGATCAAAATTATTTTAATATTTAAATTTGATTTTAGGTTTATCTTCATCTTTTTATTATTGTAAATTTATTTATGTTTATCTTCTTTTTAGAATAGGATTATGATTTCATTCTCTATAAATAGATTAGTGATTGTTATGTTCATTCAGGCTTTTGATGATTAATGATATTGAGATTATTGGTTTCTTCCTTTTGAATCCTTGTTCTCCTTAAATTTTTATCTTTCTTGATTATTCTTCTCTATCTTAGTTCCGTTTCTCCTTATTAATTATGTTCACTTTCTAAATTTTATCTCTATTCTTCTATTCTACTCGGTCTTACATCATATTCGACTGTTAAAACAGTTCACTATTATAAAGGACTTAACGAAAAAAGACATTAAAATCATATTATGATTTATGTAAGGGTTAGTTTGGTTTACGCGTTTAAGTCAATGGTTTATATTCAAATTATTTGTGAGAGTACCATTAGTGAGAATTTTAAGATTTAAATTTTTTATGAGAGAAAAACACTCTAACACAATTAGAATCATAAGTTTAAACATGTGGATTAAATAGGCCCTAAAAATTTCGTATTTAATCCTTCCATTAGAAAATTACTAAAATCAAGAGATCCTCACGTGCTTCAACCTCATTGATGAGAGATTACTTTGCACAATTGACATCGAAATAAATTCAAAACTCAAAAAAGAAAAACAAAATAAACTAAAATATTTGCACGGGCTCGTTAAGTAACTAGGCACATATGGATTAAAATAAGCTAATCACCTTTACTCATAAATTATATTTGTTTGGAGGGAATCTTTGAGGATAAGATTAAGGGACAAGATTTGACCTTGATTTGATGATCTAGGTGGTGTAATTAAGAGATGCTCTCTTCTCACTCTTCTCCTTACTTGGGCACCACGCTTAGAGAAATAACAAAATTTGAGCTAGTTAAGCTACCTTAAGAGACTTGATTAAGATATAAGAGAAAATTAGGGGTTGTTCTTTTGTAATAAAATTTAAAAAAAGTTTAAACTCAAGTTATAATTTTATTTAAATTCACGTTCTTTTAAGTTTTAATTTTATTTAATTTTATTCAATTTTATTCAAGTTACAATTTCAACTCAAGTTATAACTTAAATTCAATTTAAAAATTACACTCAAGTCACACTCTAAAAAAATAACCCCTTAATCATAGTCATGTGGCTATAAATTAGAACCACTTAATTCAAGCACCCATTTTGGCCATTTCTCTTTCATTTTCCCTACCAAAACCGGTTCTCTCTAGTGCTCTCTCTCAAAAATTTTCTTCCATTCTCATAATCACAAATCACCAACCAAATCTTGAAGCAGAAGAGGAATTTATTATTGGATTTGCCATTTGTTTTTTACTAAATAATTATTTCTTTGTTAGATAATTGAAAATTGTCTGAGAATACAACTATACAAATTAAAATTCATGATCAATTTTCTGTAATCATAATTGAGATGAGAATTTTATTATTATTTTTCTTTTTCGAAGAAAAACTCAGTTGTTTAATTATTCATAGCACTAATGTCTGTTAGTACATAACAGCTAACGAAGGAAGGCATACAATCTAACCAAACCAAGTCTTCTATCTGAGAACAAGCAAAGTTTCATAAACAGTGTGGGCTACTGTATTCCCTAGACGAGAAGTGTAGCAAATATTACTAGAAATCAGGCTTTAGTCCCGTTTATTTTACTGATTTGAGTTTAAAATTTGAGTTTTATTACAGTAAAAAGCTATCAGAAACAGTCACATCTAACTTTTTTACTACAGTAAAAAATTCTCACACAAAATCACATCTCAACTCGAATTAAAATCTCGGATATCATCAATCACCTGGGCTTCCGGGGCTCAAGGAATCGAGAATCAAACCGCACGAACCACGTTAAGAGCGTCCGACTCCAAGACCCAAAATAGCCGCCAAGCGCACACCCTCTCTAATAGCCAGATTCTCCGCAACATGTGGGGAGAGTCTCCCAAGAAGACGTACAGCTGCTGCCTTCAATAACGTCCCCGCCGAGTCTCTAATGGAAACACCCATGCTCGTCCACTGCAAACAAGAGCTACCTAAACGTAGACCAAAACCAGCTAGAGAGTAGAACAGAGGAGGTGAAAAAGAGCACTTACTCCCCCACTCCATAATCTTTTTCTCACCATAACAGAAAATAAAAAAGCCTACAAATTTCAAGTTCCACATAAATCTTTTCCACGTCAGCCACTAAGGCCGAGACTTTGACAAATTTAAAACCCGTTTAATTCACTAATTCGAGTGTTTAATTTGAGTTGAGATGTGAGTTTATGTGAGAGCTTTTTACTATAGTAAAAAATTAGATGTGACTATTTATGATAACTTTTTACTGTAACAAAACTCAAATCGATAAAATGAACGGGACCTTATACTCGCCAGCTTCAGTTCCTAACATAGACAAAAAGCTAGGAAAGATAAAGTGACAATCCTGTACAAAACAAAGAAAAACTTCCAACAAAGAAAAACCCTGTACAACCCTGTAAATATTTCATGTACTAGAATCTGTTTCTAGTCATTTCAACTAAAATAACTAACATATTTTGTGCATCAATCCTAACATTTGCACGTCTTCCTGTTGTGCCCGAACCTTCCACACCTGCCACATTTTACTTTTGTTTTCTCGGTTTCCTCCGCTGATGGTATTTTGTTGGTTCTCGGTCTTCCTGGTGGGTTCTTTGTCGAGGGTGCAAATATCTTCATTGCTTTTATGTTGTCCGGCACATTCCATGTTGATGAGTCTCCAAGTGGGTGAACTGTATGGTGGTAAGTGTTTTGGAGTGCCTCGTTTGTGTAGTAGTACGAAGAATACTTGTATATGCCCATGTTCATCTTGTTACTTGCCGCAATGGAATGGGAGCATGGTAGTTGATCGTGTTCCAATCGACCGCATGTGCATGTCTTCTGTTTCATGTTTACCACCCAGCTCTTGTTTTTGTTATAAACTTCAAATATGTCATCATTCGTTGGTTTGGTCTACACATAATTTCGTTACTCATCAGAAACAAAATAATATTTCACCAAAATTGGTTCCTTAACTCGGTATATTATTTTTAAAATAATAATTAAAATGAAAATTAATTCATGTAATAACAACAGAACTATAGCTTTTCATGAACTTGAACGATAATTTTTCAGATATTTAACTTAATGAATTGATTCCCTAAAAATAGAACATTGTTTCATGCAATCGCATTACTTATTTTGATACTACAAAAGCAAATCATTTCATTCAACAGAAACAAAAATTTCTACCAGAACTCGGCATGTTATTTTTGTAGAGTGTTGATAAGTAGTTACCGTTAATTTTGACGACTCCTCAAAGTTTTTTCGCACCTCGTTCTCTGCTTCTTCTGCTAATTTTGTGGATGCAACTTCTGCGTTCTGCCTTCTTATGCAAAACCAATCTTGAAGCATTGATCGAAGCCACTCCATAAGTGTTGCCACCGGCATGTCCCTAACATTCTCGTCATGGATGTTCATTGATTCTGCTATATTTAACGTCATAACTCCATATCTTGATTTTGGGGAGAATGCCCTAGCCCATTTTTGAAGTCCCACGCCCTCTAAGTACTTCCTGATACCACCATGTGCTTTATCCAATTTGCTCATATAGAACTCAAACTCCTCTTTGTCATATGCCCCAGAAGCTCCTTTGAAGTTTTCTGCTAGTGCTTTAGAAACACCGCGAAATTTGACCTCTAAATTTTGAAGAAGCTGACAGTTGCAATACCCAAGCAATGCATTTGGATAGGACTTTGCCGCTTCCTCGTGGATGCTAGGATGTTGATCGGACACAATCCACATCCCGTCTCTTTCACTAAAAGCTTCGCTAAGTCTCTTGAAAAAGTACTCCCATGATTCATCATTTTCTGATTCGCCAATACCGAAGGCCAGTGGAAAAATTTGGTTGTTGGCATCTTCTGCGCACGCACACAACAATGACCCTCTGTGCTTGCACTCTAGGAAAATTTCGTCCACCACAATAACTGGCCTGCAATGTTTCCACCCATGTATTGATGCTGCAACCGCCATGAACATGTATTTAAACTTGTTTTCATCATCAAGAACTATGTCGGCTACAGATCCTGGATTTGTTTTGTTCAACGTGTATAGAAAAGAGGCCAGTTCTTCATAGGATTTGTCCACATCACCTCCAATCTTCTCTAGTGCTATCTTTCTGGCTCTCCACGCCTTCTCATAACTCACATCAATACCTGTGTATGGTCATATAATATTAGGTGATCAAATAGACTACTAACTGAAAGGAATTAAGATTTATATCATAAAAATATTTCACAAAATACATTTAGTATTCTGTTTATTTTCTGCGCAGATAATTAACAACCATTTCCAATTTTGTTACATGAGATATTTCAGAAGAATATCTTCTGGAACCTGATAAAATTTTTGAACAGATTAGTTAAAAAAATTCAATCTTAACAGATTAATTGAAAAAACTTCAATCATATAACCTCATAATATTCGAAGAGAATACATTTTGGAACCTGACAGAATATTTTCTGGGCAGATAATTAACTTAAAAAGGAAGTCAATTATATACCGTGATATCTTCAGGTAAGACTTTATGTATTTACCAAATTCATTCTTCAAGTCTTCGATGATGTTGTTGGGTGCATAAACGGTTCTCCCTGATTCCTCGTACTTTTTTTTTATGTGTTCACTTATTATTTGGCTACTAGCTTGCCGATGGTCGCATTGGAGGAGATCCAAGGAGCAAGTATGTGTTTCATTATATTTTGTCACTTGAAACATATCTGTTTCGTTGTACTTTGTTGCCCGAACCCTCCACTTGCAATTCTCATCAACGCAACGCAGAATTATTCTTGTTTTGTCGGACTTGAAAACCCTATATTGATATTTTTCCTTGAGTGCTATCATGGAAATTGTTCTACTCAAAGTATCCTTGTTTTTGAATAGTTGTTTTTCATATATTTCATAGCACTCATTCGGCTCCACGATAGGAATTATTTCTTCAATTTGGTCCATGATTTCCTTCATCTTCTTCCTTTTCCTCCTTGGTTGTAGCTTTGCAAGTGCAACATTTCCTGATTGCTCACCACCATATCTTGTTGTGGCATCACTCATCTCTACACACAATGGCTGAGGAGTTTTCTCACCATCATATCGTGTTGTGGCATCACTCATCGTCTCTATACACAATGGCTGTGTAGTTCTCTCACAATCATCTGCTGCTACTATGGGCTGATCTTGGTAATCTACCATAGTTTCTGCTCGATCTGTTGGCGGCAAGCGGTTGCTTCCTTCATCTGATGCAGTAGTCTGCCGCATCTCTATGGTTATGCATAAAGGGAAACGCGTTGCATCTTCTTTTCTTTTTAACTCCAAGTAGAATTGCACATGATCATCATTCTGTATTATTATCCTTGGCGACCCATCATTTACTTGATACTCTATTGTTAGGTCTGCCTTCTCTCTTTCCAATTTCAAACCCTTGTAAACCAAGTCAACAAACCCATTGTATTCAATATTTCTTGGCACTAAAATCCCTGTTATCTTGTAGTCAATGTAATTGTTCTTTTTGCTCCATCGTCCATCGTAATTAACAAAGACATTAATCACCTCCATCTGTGCACAACAGAAAAACAAAATATCAGATGACAAGAATAAATATGACAAAAATATATTCTACAAGAATACTATTGGGATCCTAACATAATATATATATTTTCTTTCGGACAGACCCTGTCTAAACTTGACTTCACATAAATGATGGAAATACATTCTACAAGAATACGTTGTCACGCCACAAAATAGGGATCAGTAACTAAAAGAGGTTTAATTAAAAAAATACAAAATTTAACCTTTAAAAAATTTTGAAACTTGATTCAAATTAGAAATACAAACGTTTGCCCGGCCAGGGCTTTTACAAATTGAATCCTAACCAAAGAAATCCATAAAAGATATAATTTCCAAAATAAAAGTTAAAAAACTTTCGCTGCGCAGCTCAAATAACATCATATAGTTTGCCCAAAAAAAAAAAAAAGGGTACAATATGGTATTGCTAACCGGGATAGTGTCATTCAAGATAGAATCCATGCACCAAATATACATGTCCAGAGTTTAGATACATAATAATAATAATAATAATAATAATAATAATAATAATAATAATAATAAAATATGAGAAATCATTGACATCCAACTTCAAAATCCGATCCTAGTAGACTCAACACAACAATTGCCTACCGCGTGAGACTGGACCAAAATTGTGTGAACCAAGAGAGTGGAAAATAATTACACGGTGCCCAGTAGGAAAATAATTACTCACCTTTTGGTCTTATTGATTACCAATTAAAAATTCATGCATGGTCAGTAACAGTAGCAATAATAACTGATAGACAAGTGTTGTTTGTAAGTCATGCCATCAATTGGATGCCTAAATTTTTGTAAACAGTTTCATAAACTCACAATATATATAAATCAGAGGGAAAACTTGAATCCTCGTGCATCGAACAACTTGTGATGGGATCACAGGAAAACCACCCACAGGGGGCGTATGGCTCAGAGGCACTTGGCAGCAAGGAAACTAATCTCAATGACGCCATCAGGCCAGCCTTCAAGCATAAAATTATGGTGGATCCGTTGTCCCGGTCCTCAATATTTTGTTTAAAGTTACTAAAAACTATGTTAATTTTAATATGATCATCACATGAAAAGACATTAAAGTTGCCGCCAAAAAAAAAAAAAAAAAAAAAAATTGTTTAAAGTTACTAAAAACTATGTTAATTTTAATATGATCATCACATGAAAAAAAAAAAAAATTTCCCCCAAAAAAAAAAAAAAAAAAAAAAAAAAAAACCAAATCTTTCTAAATTGTTTCATAACTAAGGACTGCAAACCAGATCAAACACATAATTCGGAATTCGCTTATATATGCACGACATGTCTTGGTCTCCTGTGTGTTGTCAGGATTGCAAGACTTTTCAATTAATTGAGATATCTATGAAAAAAACAACACTTAAGTTTATCACATAAGTTTAGGGACTCACACCCCATCGTTTCTCCCATTGTTTGAACTTTTTGGGTATTGGACCCAACAACGGAAACACTGCCCTTTTTAGACATGTCTCTCAAATCAATAATCCTCACGGAACGCTGAACTGACTAAAGGTTTAATGCAAAGAAATCATTATAGCACTCATAAGTAATATGTATGGAACTAAACATATAAAGTTCCAGACAAATTAGACAAGAATTAGCACAAATCAATTTTCAAAATTTCCATTAACATACTTCTCAAGAATGGTGACCAATGATCAAGATAATAAGAAAAAAAAAATCAAAATTCTAAAAGAAGCACCAAAACCAAAAGTCATAACGAAACAACGGTAACTCCCACAAATTCAAGACCAAATGTATATCATAATAACCGAATTGATTTTATAAATTCTCATACAACAATTTCCATTGCTTGCTACAATGACATTGTTATAACCCTTGGGTAAAACTCATCCCCAAAAGCTAGCTTGTAGAGAGAGGGTGTCAAGTGATTATAAACCCATATGCTAAGCCTATACTTTAACAATGTGGGACTCAACCAGGATCCTAACATACCACCACGCTTCCGACATCGACGTCCAAGGCGGCCCATTCTAGATGGCCCACTCTGGCCTTTCCAGGTCGCCCCTCCCTAGGTCGCCTCTTCCGCAACGTGGGTATGAGGAGGAGCATGCTCTGATACCAATTGTTATAATCCTTGGGTAGAACTCATCCCCAAAAGCTAGCTTGTAGGGAGAGAGTGCCCAAGTGGTTATAAACCCACATGCTAAGCCCATACTTTAACAATGTGAGACTCGATCAGGATCCTAACAGACATGTTGTTAAGAGGTGGTATAGCTTGAAATTTACACCTTGGACAGATCAAACATTGAATCAACTAGAAGTTTACTACAGGAATCTCCAAGTAAAAATAATAAAGCAATTAGTAAGAAACAAGCAACTAGTCTTCATCAAAAGCTAAAGAAAACGAAAACCAAAATCTTAGCAACACTTAAACTGAGCATACATTCTACCCATAATTACCTGAATAAATTGCTAACCAATCTATAATCAATATGAATATATAAGATCTTCACTAGACCAACCGATAACTTGAGGAGGAGAAAAAAAAAAAAACCAACAACAGTAATATCACCATTCTGAATTTAGAACCAAACAACCTGATTAGTAAAATATAGACAAAAACCCAATTCAATATTGTGAAGATTGAAGTAGGTTTCTATCCATCAAATAAATTAGAAAACCAAAATTCCATAGATGAATCAAACTGCAAAAATTTAAATAAGAAAAGAAACGAAACGAGTCAATGAATACCTTGGCAAACAGAGGAGGTGAGCAAGCTTTTAGAGGGAGAAATTAGGGCAGTGATGCAGTGGGAAAATGGCGTGCGCCGTTCGGGTCCGACGGCACCGGCGCGATTCGAGCAAAACGAAAAGGGATAGTGACGCTGAAGAAATTAAAAAAAAAAATGGAAGGAGAAAGAGAACTAGAGAAGTAAGGCTTGGTCGTACTGTGACTCTGATAGCAGAGAGGGCAGTGGGATACTGAGTAACGACTGGAGAGGAGGGTAAGGTAAATATTAGAATTGGGCCCACCCCAAAGGACACAAACCGTTTTTTATTTTTTTCTCTTTTTTTATTTATTTTTAATTTTTAATTTTTAATATTTTAGGCAGTAACCCAAATTTGGAAGCAGAAAAAAGGGTAGAGGAGGGAAATAACATAAGGAGTTGATTACAATTAATAGCATACGTTAATTTAAAATAAAGAAAATGTCAAAAAAAAAAACTTAATTTAAGGAATTTTTACTATATTTAAAATACTATGGGTGTCAATTCGTGTCACGTGTTGTGTTCGTGTCGTGTTTTGATCGTTTTCTTAAAATTTACAGTCAACCCGAACACAATCCGTGACACGAAATTTTTTAAAAATCACAACACGAATACGACACGACCAATTTACGAGTTGACACGACACGACCCGAAAATGACCCGTGAATCTGAAATTGACACGAAAATTGTATACTTTTATTTAATTTTTTACATATTAGAAATAACTTAAATTTCATAACACACTAAATTACACTAACATTCATTGAAATTAAGCAAATAATAGTATAAGATTTTGAGTATAACTATCATGATATCACAAATTCATAATAAAATTTAAAATATGTAATGAAAAATATATGTATTTTTTAGTTTTTTATGAGTTTCATATCGTGTTTGGGTTAGCAGGTCCAACCCGAAATTGACCCATTTTTTCGTGTCAATTTCAGGTCGACCCAGTTCTGACCTGAACCTTTTTTTTCTCAACCCTAACCCGCAAAATTCGTGTCATTTTCGAGTCATGTCGTCGTATCGTGACCCACATTACCGGCCCTATAAAATACCAATATTACCTTTTTTATTTTTTTAAACCATTTGTCACAAGTTGCATAAGTTTGCCCCATCCTAACTCTGGAGGTTCATGAAGACTCTAGAATTTTTTAGAGTATTCTTGAAGGATAGAACACTCTAGAACATCTTAGAGAAATTAAGTCTTTTCTAAAAGATCCGTAATGTTTTAAAAGTCTTTGTCACGATATGGAAGACTCTGAAAGAATCTAAAAGCATTTGGAACTCTGTGGAAGCCTTTAGAATTCTTTAGAAGACTTTACAAGCCACTGGAACTTTCTAGAAGCTCTTAGGAGTATGTAGCCTTCTAGCAACTTGTAGAAGTTTCTAGATAGGCATGGACCTTGTAAGTATACTAGAAAGCATACTAGAACATTCTAGGATAGCTACCTTTCTGTAAAGTTCTCAAATTCTCCTTAGAAGGCCAATGGCCTATAAATAGGGGAGAACATCCCTCAGTTGTACTCAACCCTAAAAGCTTGTAAACATTCACTCACTAATAGAAGTCCTCTTTCTCTAGCTTTTAAAAGTATTCTCTTAGTGTCTTGACTTGGCTTTCCATTACTTCTTGCCAAGTTTTGTGAGTTTGGGTGAATTCAGGCTGACTTAGCATCGAGAAGTGCTAAGGCCGCATGGTCAAGTAGTGAAAAAGAATCAGGTCGTGACACTTAGTATTAGAGCATCGACCGGGACATGGCAAAGAACACCAAGGATCAAGCAGTTGGATCCGACACCTCCAATGTGGAGTCATCGCAACAAGGGTGGGGTCGTGAGGAGCAATACGACACTACAGCACTAAAGCCACGGGGGAAGCCCAAGGACGTGGTATCTAGCTTCGAGGCACGCTTAATTCGAGTGGAGGATAACGTGAGCGCCTAGGATACGCGGATGGAGGACATAGACCAAAGACTAGATGGTCTAGAGGTAGAGGGTATCAAACTCTATACGGTCGTGCATAAGTCGCTTGGCAAGCTAGAGAAGTCCTTAAGAAAGGATATAGAAGAGCTTCGAGCATAGCTCTCAACTGAGGTGGCTCGTGTGCGAGATATCTACCAAAATGTGATCACTAGTCTACTTGTCAAGCTGGAGGAAGCATAAGCGGACCTAGCATTATGCAAGCGTGCAGTGGCAACCGGTTCAACCATGCTCGTTGTGGAGGCACGCAAGGTTGATGTGCCGAAACCGAAGAGCTTTGTGGGCACCCAAAACGCTCGCAAGGTGGACCACTTTCTTTGGGGGCTAGAACTGTATTTTGGCACAGTGGGCATCATGGAGGATGCCACCAATATCAAGAATGCAGCCTTGTATCTCACAAACACCGCCATACTGTGGTGACGAAGATGGCAAGAAGAAATCAGGAGAGGTACGTGCACCTTTGATACCTTTGATGCTTTTAAAAATGAACTTAAAAGACAATTCTACCCAGACAATGTCAAGGAGGTGGCATGTGGCTGCCTATGAAGGCTTAAGCAATCGGGTAGCATTCGGGACTACGTGAAGGACTTCACAAGCCTCGTGTTGGAGATCCCCGACATGTCTGACAAGGACTCCCTTTTCTTCTTTATGGACGGGCTACAAGTGTCGACAAAGATGGAGCTTAGCCGCCGAGGTGTGCAAGATCTTGCTACAGTCATTGTCGTAGCTGAAAGTCTGATTGATTACTCAAGCCAGAAGGAGTCATCAAAGTCCAAAGAGAAGAAAAGTGGCACCAATAAAGGTGGGGAAGATCATGGCAAGAACCAGCACAAGGAAGGAGGTAAGTGTTGGGAATGGTGTCCTAGAAGCATGAGATGTAATAGGATATTTATTATTTATTTAATAAAAGAGTTTATTCATTATTTTATGTGCATATATTATTGAATAATTTATGAATATCATTGAAAATTACATGATTATTTATGTGATCTTAAATAATATTGTATATAAGTGTTATATGCGAGAGGATAATCTTTAAGGATAATAATCAAAATGATGTTCGTAATGAATTTAATTAAAGCTTAGAATCTTTAATTAAAACATTACTAATACATGTCATTCCCATTTAGAATGAAATGGTGTTATCTGCACTGTTAATATGGTGAGATATTGAATGAGTGTATTACACATAATGAGATTGTGTGGAACCGGGGTAGACACAATATGAATTTCTGATAATTTCTATTAAGTATAGAAATTTTAATTGAGTCTACCGATGGTCATATATAGAATGATCTAAATCTTAAGTTATTAACAGATTCTTATTTATGGATTTGTGTCTGTTGATTTGTTCGGTACGGATTTCAAGATCTTGAATTCTATTTCTTGTATTTTGAAGACATGATAAAGTGAGTAGCCGAGAATGTTATTATACGAGATGAAATCCATTCCTTCTTGAGAAAGAAGTAGATAAATAATTCTCTTGAGAGTTGGTTCGGTACTTCTACCGGTAGGAGCTCTGATTCATGAATTTATTTTATGAATCACTATCCATTAGCAAATCAATGGTACTCAAGGATAGAGATGTAATTAGAGAGGTTAACGGATTTCGCCTAGCTCTAATTATGATTTATTTATGGAAGATTGATCTATATGTAATGACTATATCAAATGGATACTTCACAATTTAGAAGTAAATTAGATCTATAATTACGAGAGTGCAACTCTAAGTTTATAGCAGAGTAACTTTTAGAATTAATAGAGTTAATTAATTAATTAAAGAGTTTTAATTAATTATTAATTTTATTGGAGCTCAGTATTATAGGTCTATGAGTCCCCGCGTTGTCCTTGTAATCCTACAAGTCACTAAGGGCAAAATGAGAATTTTGAAATTATAGAATTCTAAATAAAACACTCAAGAATAATTAATTGAGAATAAATTATAAATTAAATAATGTGATTATTTAAATTTGAATTTTGGAACACACATGTGGAGGGGTCAACTTGGTGTACATGCCCAGCACTGTAGGAATCCCTTTGGGATTCAGTTGCTTACTCTCTAAGTTATGCAATTGACTTATTTGATAAATTGTCCAATTGAAATTTAAATTAAAGTAAGTTTGACTGTAATTGAAATTTGAATTTGAGTCAAAAATCGACTGCAAGATAAAGGAGAAAATTTTCATGTCTGTATTATGCGCCAACCACAGGGAGGTATTTCCCGGTGGTGACCGGTCTAATAGGATAAGAGAGAGAGGAGATTTTGTTTCCAAAATAAAATATAAGTGGAAGATAATTATCAAGCTTTATCTTGGAGATAAAGTTTAGACTTCTTTTAAGAGTCTGATAGCTACTCTATAAATAAGACATTGCAACACAATTTTTGCTCTCCCTACCTTAGTGGCCAAATTTTATAGAGTGAGGAAAATGAAAATTTTCTCCCTAATTTCACGCCGTGCATGTATTGGTTTTCGTGGAATACTTGAGTGTTTGAGTGCTAATCCCGTTTTGTTTCAGGTATGTCCACACATACGTCTTCGTAGATTTAAGAAATTGATAAGAAAGATTTAGGTATTCTAAACAAACTTGGAGTGAGAAACTTTCATGACCAAAGAACTCAAGTTATCGACCTAATCGTTAACTAAATAAATTTATTCATAAATTAATTTGATTAATTTATCAGTGCATAAATTAATGTAATTTATAAAGTATCTCAAAAATTTATTAAAATTTTTATTATATACAATTTACTAAATACACGCTTCCCTATAGAAAATCGTTTTCAAACTCAACAATAAGGACCATGCCTCATCTAAGTATAAGGATACTGAGGAACAACTGCTTCTTATGTGATGGGCCCAAAGAGGAAGGCCCTCAATGCTATGGCTGCGACATTCAAGGAACAAGGGTCACCTGGATTACCCTTGGTCCATGGGCGGGTCACCTGGATTTATCTGTGGTTCCCATGGATGACTTTAAAGTTATCGATCAAGTGAAGGCCTTTCCTGTCCCATTTCCTGTCCCATTTGCCAACACCGTGTCCATCATGGATGTTAGAAGACTTGTGTGGTCCCTTCTGATCTACCAAAATAGAGCCCAAGGTGTTATCCGCCATCCAATTCAAGAAAGGCTTGAGGAAGGAAGATGAGAGCTACCTGGCCATCCTCAAGTCGAGTATGACGACGAGGAATTCTCTCCTCAATCAACCATGCCTAAGGAAGTTCAAAACGTTGTTGATGAGTTCAAGGAAGTTCAAACGCTCTTGGTGGCGAATTGTCGGCGAGGCAGCCTGCGCCGGATTCTGGAGACAGCGACACCGATGTGCTCATGACATAGATGATATGTCCAAGGCTGTTCGGTTATTCCTGAGGAGAGAGAGAGTGAGTGAGGGAGGAGGAGAGAGAGTCTTCTCTGCAACTTGTTTTTTCGTTAGTGCAGCATGGGACGATTGAGGAGAGAGAGAGAGAGGGGAAGGGGAGTTTAGGGGAGAGAAAGGATGAAAATACTGATATTGAATATTTTATCTAAAAAATGCTATTTACTAACCTTTCTAAAAACTTGTGCCATTAATTTTTATTGCCTAATTAAATTATGCTATTTCCTTCTTTCTCCCTGAAATAATTCGAATGCGAACTGAGGGTACAAACAGAAATTAGGGGCCACATTATTACATTGTTATAAGATGGGGTAGAATTTATGAATTTTATCCACAAAGGCACAAACCAACTTTCTAAATTTTTTTTTTTTAAATTAAATGTGAACTTTGTTACTCAATTGCAATATCAACAAGTTCAAAAGAGTTAACAAAATCTGGCAGAAAATAAACCCAAATAAAAATCTCTAAGTTACATATAGGCAAAATTAGCCAAATAATAGTGAGTTATGCAAAATTAACCCAACTTTCTAATCCAAGTTATACTTTGTTAATTTAAGATAGTGTAGCAAAATTCACCGCTAAGTCTAAACTGGCTGACCATGCCTAGGACAAATGAAAACTTTTCTAACCCTAGTAAAAATATTAAAGTAAGGCCAACTATTTGATTAAATTAGATACAGAGGTATTTAACCATTGTTCAAATACCAAATACTTAAATATGTATCCAAACACCATCTCTGAACCTCTCGTCAAACAAAATTTAATCATTAAATTTCAATAATATGTTCATTTGAAGTTATTATGCAATAGTTTGAGCAGATTTTGATTTAAGAAACACAAATTAACGTCGTTTTGGGCATCAACCTACCACTATTTAGGTATAGGTTATAAAGACACCTTCATTCTGAGTTGCCTTGTAATAAAATGGTCACGTTTCATATAGCAAGGGGTCAAAAGTCTTTTTGTCCCCACTCTCAACATGAATTTACATTAGAATATTTCAAAAAAAAGAGAGATTGTAGTAGATAGGCCAACTTTCAAAACATGTGAAAGTAACTAAGTAAATAACCTCTTTACCAAGTATTTAGACATTAATAGGCCATTTTCCAATCTTAAATATTATTTTTCTAATTTTACCCTGTTTTTATCTCCTTTTCAAATCTCCTATAAAAAAAAAAGAAAAAAGAAAAAAATATTTCTTTTTCAAATCTTCTCTCTCTCCCCCTGCTGCGTCCTATCACTCTCTCTTTCTCTCATTCTCTCTTTGGCAACGGCGACATCCTCGTCAAATAGAGGAGACTCCGGTTGTCTTTGTCGCATCTCCAGTATGATTCAGCTGTAGGGGATGGTTTGGAGAGGAAGCAGTGGTGAGGGATATCAGATTTGGGCTGATTTCTCTGGTGAGACTGATACTCACCGCAACGGCGACATTCTCATCAAAGAGAGGAGAGAGAGGAGCAGCAGAGATAGAAATGATCACAGTGGGAGAGAGAGGTGCAGACCTGCAGAAAACGCAGAGAGAGAAAGATAGAGTGAGAAAAGGAAACGAGAGAGAAACATGAGATTTTTTTGGGTGTCTAAGGATTTTTTTGCAATTTAATTAGGTATCGTTCAGTTCGCCGATTTGAATTTTCAATTCAAGCTGAGATATGACATTATATGAGAGCTTTTAATTGTAGTAAAAAAAGTTAGATTTGACTTCTTGTGAGCTTTTAACTGTAGCAAAATTTGAATTAAAAACTTGAATCAGTAAAATGAATGATGCGTTAATTGGTAAATATGAATTTACAACTAATAGGTCTATTTACTAACTTTTTTTTTTTTTATAAACTTAGCTTATTAATTTTTATTCCCATGCTAGTTGGCCTATTTCCCTCACTCTCCCTTGAAACATTAGGTCACATTATCGTAATTGTCCACATAAAGCAAGAGGTACTAATTAGAATATGGATCCCTTTAACAAGGTGAGTATTGACAGAGTAGCCTAAACTGACCCAACACAAACTTGAAGTGGCACAAATTTCAGCTTTGCAGAAACCGAAAGGTGGTAAACTTACACCTGTTGGACGGTTCATCCATGGCAATACTTCTCCCCTTTTGCCTTTTTAAGTAATTGAAGGGATTTTGTGGCACCATATTTTGGAGAAAGAAGAGATCAACAGGTGTAAAATAGCATAGCATACAGCAGCATTTAAGGCTGGCTGGTGCAGAAATGGTGGATCTTCAAAACCTTTGCAAGAGGGTTCAGTCCTATGCCCGAAAACATCGAGTTGCTTTCTTCAACCACCACAAGATGCAAGGGCCTTTCAGATCTGGAGAGGCCTTGCTCTAAGCCATTATTCAGCAGCATGACGAGGTATCTACGGGTAACACGGGTTTCACTGGAGTAACAAGTGACTTACTAGATGTCATAATTATGAAAGTTGGAACTTAAAAAATACAGAAGGAGAAAATGGAAAGAGATAAGAGTGAAAGTTGAACCTTCAGAAATCCCATCTCATGGAAGATTTTCTTTTGCAGCTGCAGGATTGCGGCCAAACTGAATGACCATCGGCTTGCCTTTGAACTGATAACCATTCACTAGATTCTGCATCCGATGATTTATCGTATAAGTAATTAGTTTATAATTCAGTCCAGAATGCGATAATCCAGCACATGGTAGTTTTTTGCATGTACGCCAGGAAAACCAAATAGAGGGAGATTTTTGCAATATGGCTAAACATAGGATGTGCTCGTAATCTGGAAACATTCACGGGCTATAAAACAAAGTTGACTGAGATACATACCAAAGCATGATGAGCTAGTTCAACTGATGGGAACGTCACAAAAGCTTGACCCCTCATTCTTCCTTCCTGACATTGGCAACATACATGATCAAATTTTCTTCCTCAAGTCCTTTGGAACTGACTGCTTCAGATTTTCTTTCAAGGAGCACATGATTCAAGATTTGAAACATAATATATGTCTGGATTAAGAATTAGACTGTTGAGACCATACCTGCATTAGCTTCACATTGAGACTAGATTTGGCTACATCAGTACTTCCAAACAATGATCCTACAACACAATACAAGTATGCTGTAATGTAAGTAAAAGTTCATCTCACCCTCACGTAATGCACATGGAGGACACATGACATATGCCATCCACATTTTAACGCAGAGGTAATGGTAGGACTGGAATTGACACATTATGATAGTTGGAGTTGGTTGTTGGACGTTTTAAAATTCAAAGACCAAAGTCAGAATTGGTGTAAACTTAGGTGCCATTTTAGGGATTATCAATAATAGTAATATGCAACAAGAAATGGACAATGGTAAAATTTTATGTGCAAGCATTTATAGTAAATGATACCTGCATTATCATCAATAAGTAAATACACTTAAAGCGCTATAATTGCTGGAAAGGTGACTTGTTATCATAAGAGATGGGAAGTATATAATGAGATTTGGTTATTTGTTCTGCTTCATTGTTTAAGTGAGAAAGTAGAGAAGGCAAAAAGTTGTTTTTTATTTTATTTTAGGCCCCTTCAAGGTCAATTCTTTAATTTTTGAGTTGAATATAGAACAATAAGAAATGCATATATACATAAACCTATAAAACCACGATTTAAGATTTAATCAATTATATATGCACCTATAAAACCACGATTTAAGATTTAATCAAGTTTTGCTATCATCAAACTAGATAGAATGTCATGAAATTATCTCTTCTGTCATGCTGCCATAGGAATAATTACAGAATATAATGCAAATGAACGTTAACATAGAAATAAACAGATCATGGAACAAGTGCTCACCAAATATGTAGTAGAAGTCATCAACAACAACATCCTTTGCCAAGTTCTTTATATACAACACAGAGGCAGGGTTTCCAGCTTTATAATTCTGCAAATCGAAAAGTGAAAATCCATATTGCTTCACAAGTCTTTCGACTCTTTTCGTTAAATAATTAGACAATGAGAAGAAGAAGAAAAATAAGAAATGCAAATCTGCACCTTGCCACACTCGATAGAAAATTTTGATAAAGCATCAAATAAAAGTGAATGGATATGAAATAAGAACAAAATACTATTTTGTCTTTCTCTCATGAAAAATAAGAAAAACTATAAAATAAGGAAATGTGGCCTCGGTAAGATTTGTCCTTTTTATTTTTAACAATTTTACAATAAACATCTAAAAATTTTTACTGTACCTTAAACACTGGAAGTGATAAGAGTTCCTCTGGGCCCAATTTCCCGTTCTGTATTTCCTCTGGAGTTGCATAAGGTTTAATATCTAAACTCTCTGTATTTGGATCCTCTGTTTCTCCAGAAACACCAACGTCATTATGTTCCTTCTGAGCTGCCTTGTTTGCAAATTTTATCTGGATAAAGACAAATAGGAAATAAAATTTTCGAGATAAATGGATTGTCTTAAAATCATCCACACCATAAAAAATGATCTACCTGTAACACAGAATTCCTCTTTTTTATGACTGGTATCTCTTTTGGTATCAGAGTGGCAGGTTTCACTCCAACAGCTTCATGAGCCACATCTTTATGAACAGCAGGACCAACAATGGCTGCCCGCTTGATACGCTTCGAACCTCTTGAAGGTCCGCTGGTATTTATATTTTCATCAACTTCCTAGAAACACGTACAACACAAAGAACACGAGTGAATTACTAAAAGAATAAAAAGCCACCACATAGATATCCAGTTAGACTTTAGACTTTTGTAGTTAAACCTACTTCCACAGTTGTCTGTCTATACATATTGAAAAAGCATGAAAAAGATTCCTCCAAGTGTTACGACTAAAAACATTCCATTGCAAATTTTTAGAGAATATTGAAAGCTTTTCCCTGTGAGAACTTTACGCGAGGTGTTTTTTTCCAAAAATTCAATATCAAGGAGAAAAACGTTGACTTTCTATATTTCTTTATAGTGTTTGGATGAGCAATCTTAACTTCCAGATTAAGATTTTCTTTCATTTTCTTTTCTGCATAAGCACGCAATGAACCCGTTCATTTAAGCAAGAGACAGGTACCTCATCTGAAGATTCCATTTCTGACTCCTCACTGGATGATACAGCCAATGGTTGCTTTGCCGATTCAAGGGGGGGAGGGGGAGGCGGTGGTGCAGGTGCTAAAGGTGGTAGAGGTGGAGTGGGCATAGCCATACGAAATGGCGCTGGGATATTCATTTTATTCATTAAGTGCAAGACCTACAATGGGGGCGCAATAAAAACATTTAAAAAAATAATAGTAATGAAAAACTAAATCCATACTCAATAATCATTAGAAACAAGAAATTTAAGCGCTCAATCCATAAAAAGACAAGTCCATTTCACTGCTAGATGCGTAAAAAAGACTAAATAGTCATCAAATCCTAATATAATAATATTATAAGGTCCATAATGCACTTTGAAAGCCTAGATCTCTCCCAACTCATCAATGATCATCAGAGAAGTTGCTCTTCTTGTTGTAGTGTTTTCAGATTTTAAACATCTTTTAGCTTAATGCTTAAAACAATCTTCAAAAAACGTTGAATAGTCATCAATTTTTTCTCCCTTGTGGGTCTGGTCTGGTTGTTGATGCGAAGAATGAGAGATGAGAGGGAGAGATCGTGAAAAAGGAGGCTGCTCTAGGTTTTTATTTTTTTTTATTTTTTTTATTTTTATTTTTTATGATTTCAAAGGGCATATTAAATTTGGGCTTTTAAAGCCCAACTCATATTGGTTAAAAGAAACCCAGAATAACACATAACAAAAGAGGCACACGCCTCGACCACCGCTTGAGGCACAGCTCAAAGGCGTGTGCCTCGGGCGCTTTTTAAAACCATGATTAAAACAAATGACATCATAGGCATGGAGGTGTAAATTCTTCCAGTAGCTCTAGATGAGGAAACAACCTGTGTGTAAAAGCGAGGAACGGCAATTAGAGCATTTACAATGTTAGTTAGGATATTGCCATCTGGTGGAGGGTAAGCGTACCTGTAAAAGCTTCATTTCAGTTAAAGCAAATAAATATGAAGCTATTTAGCTACATAAACATAAAAACAGGTCACATCAACATTTTCCATATATCATACTTAAAAAATGTATATAAAGAGTTTAGGCAGGCGAGTTACTAGATCCTTCCAATTGCTTATTTCAAATAAACAGAAAGTTCAAAAGATTAAAATTACTATGGTGTTTTCCTTTCCCCTCTGTTTACATCGCCGATTCATATTTCACAAGGCTTCTTCTGTATATTTCACAAAAGAGCAATGGTATTGATCAACATTGGTAAAAACCACAGTTATTACTTGTTAACAGCCAGGTATCCATAAGCTATCATGTGACAGTGTTTAATTGTGCATAAGTTAAGTGGTGGTGGTTAACACTAATGATATTTATAGTTGTTCCTAAAATATAAAATAAAATAAAACTTGTTTCTGCTTCGTTCTTCTTCTTCTTCATCCCTCTCCTCTCTTCATTCCGCTCACTTCTCCTTTGTTTTGATTAGTGTGCAGGTTATGTCCAATTATTAAGACAAAACGCATACAACATACTCGCTCATCTAAACCTAAGGGAACCAGAGGAAAAAAAAAATATCCAACAACTAATTTCAATGTACAACCAATTTAAAATGCATCACTACTAGACTTTAAATCAAACACATACCAGCTCTGGTCAAAATACCTAGCTAGTCTTCCATAATGCCAACAATATTTGAGCTTTACAATGAGATGAAAGGAGCTTGATTTTTTTTTCTTTTCTCGCTTTTTTTTTTTTTAAGCAAGAGCTGAAGATAATTTTTCCTGAAAGGTGTTTGGTTTGGGAAACATGTTATGAGCAACATCCTGAAGAGGCTTCCTACCCTCAACCACATCACTCAGAAATCAGCCAGAAATCACATCCAACAAGAATAGAGACTGGATGATGTTGTAATGTTGAGTTAATATGGCTATTTTAGTGTTATAATAAGAGCCAGTATAGTTAATCAAGAGCATTAGTAGGCAAAACTTCTGTTCAGGGTGTAATTAGAAAGTCAAGTAGTCAGTCCAAGAAAGCTAATATACTTGGCAAATTTGTCCAACGGTTTTTTCTTTCTTTTTTCCTGGTCATCAAGTCTCATATTCAAATTTCTAAAGTCTTTATTGTTTATAAGAATATTTTTAACTTTTCGGGAATCTATCTAAGTTGAATTCAGCCTATACAAGTTTTCTTACCTTGAAGAAAGTGTAAAATTTTTCAGAATTTATTATATAGTTGGGGGTGTGTGATACACTGAGCCCTGTTAATGTGCTGACAAAGGAAAGTATGATTTGATACCAAAAGATTTATAGGTATGACTAATGACTTCTAGAAACCCATTAGCATGATGCTAGAGGGTCTACCATTCTCCTGTTAAGTTCAATTGACATTTGGATGGAAATTAAAAGGCACTAAGTCGCCCAAACTTGTTGGGTTCAAGAACGCAATTTCCAAAATTTATGAACACAATGCCAAACAAGGAAAATTTCAAGATACAAAAGTGCCCAATGGCCAGTACTGCTTTTTTTTCTTTTTTTTTAAAAAATATTTTTGAGCTTTGATTTTTCAAAAAATAAAGGTTCTTCCTTTAAGAAGCAAGATCACTCTTGATTCTAAGTAAGCAGTAAGCTAACTGAAGTAAAAGGCAAGCCAGTGCTGCTGTGCATGGTAAGTTTCTGGGAAGCTCGGCTCAGTGATTAGAGAGTATGATACAGCTTGAGCTCGACAATAACCCAATCTAAACCTAGGAGCTAAGCACCCCAAGCCTAGAAAGCTCTAACAGAGATTAATCCATTCGCAACCCTATTCCTTAGCCAACAAAGATCAAAGTCTATTAACTTATAGTACAGTAAAGTTGCAAGTGTTAAAGGAAAGCTTCATATTATCCAGAACAAGAAAGAGGAACAGAAATGCCTTCAAATAATGCCTTCAAATACTGGCCACATTAGATAAGGGGACCACAAGATATTGATAAGATCAAGACTGAAATAAGATTTACAGCAATGGATCACTTTAGTTCAGGCAGATATACTGTTACGTGGGAATAACAAAATGAAGTGCAGTCAGGCAAAAAAATTAATCCAAGTCCGTTATTTCTAATTATACATTTAAGGACATGCACTGTGTGTGAGCTATTAGATTATACAACTTGTATAAATTGATAATGAGCACACCTTGATATTTCTAAGTTCATATGAATATGATGCTAGATCCGACATACAGAGACTTGGAAGAAAGGCATCAAATTCTAGCTTAACAAAATAAAGCCTATAGGTACTTGTAGCAACAAAAATACATCAACCATTCAGAAGACCAATAGTCAATTCAAGTTTTCTGTATGAAATATGCTCTTCTAATCATTATAGGCATGAATTGAGTTAACGCATACAGCCATAACTTTACAAGTCAAAGACAAAAATGTCCAGGTGTTGCTCCTTTAAATTCTTAACTTGAAATGCAGCGGGAATTGACGAATGTAAACATATTAATATTAATGGGCAAAATCAAGATCTCTTAGTTATTTCACCTCAGCACTCTTTACCATTGAAATGATGCCGAATACGGATGTTAAATTACGGTTTTTCCCAAGCGAAACTTTAAGTTCCAAAAGGATTAACAAAAACACGCGATTCAATTGACGAGCCACGGTTCCAAAAGATCAAAAGAGAGCTCACTCACGGGGACAAAAACAATTCTAATGCCAATGTACTGCCAGAGAAACCACATATACATAAACATATCCGAGTGTGTGATTTGTACAACAGAAAGGAAGTAAAGAAAGCGACATACTCGAGGTGAGGAGGAAACGGATAGTCCACACCAAGTCTAGGGGCAATGAGCTCGGCGGCAGGCAGGGACCTCGATCTCGAGACTTGTTCATCTCCAATATCTTTGGAGAAAGATGATGTGGATGTGGGTGATATTAAATCCTTGCTCAATTTAGCTTCATGTGTACCAAAATGAGTTCTACTATTACTTTTATTATCATCACTATTGGGTGTCTTAGAGGCCTTTTCTACCTTCAATACTTTGCCAAGGAATCTCAACCTACAAAAACAAGATTCCATTTGTTTCTCCCAAAAAACTACAAAATCTCTCTCAAAAAAAAAAAGGAAGTTGATTTTTATACCCATTTAATTGACGTTGTGCTTGAACAGCCAATGCTTCGTTTTGGAAATCCACAAAAGCACAGTTTCTCAATCTATACATACAAAACCAAAGAAGAAACAAAAAGAGTAAAATCTAAAATTAGCCCAGAACCACAAGCAAATTCATTTTTTAAACTTGAAAAAGAATATAGAAACAAGAATTTGGCATCTCTCTTACCGGGAATTGGAAGTGCAAGGACGGACAGAGGAAGCGCCATAGTGCGAGAAGAGACGAGAAAGCGTCGGTTCGGGAATGGCTTCGGGCAAGTGCCGAATCAAAAGGGTCGACGCAGCAGCCCTAACTTGTGATTCTGGTTGAAGCCCTAAATGATGCTGCTGCTGCTGCTGCGACTGAATCGGAAGCTGATTTTGATTCATCGGAGGAACTCCCGCCATTAACGTTACTCTTTCAATTGTGCTCACCCTTGTTTTTGGTGTTCGACTCTCACTACGACCTTCCTCCTAACTCCTAAGTAATTGGCAGCAGTCGCGCATCCGATTCATGTCCATTCTCATTGCGTTTAGATACGAGGACAAATTTTATAAATTTTTTCAGAATTTTGGTACTTATGTCCATAAATTTTAAAATAGGTATATTATGCCTTTAAATTTTAACACTCTATTAAAATATTTTTCAGCCTAGTTTCGTTAAGTTTTTTAATAAAACTTATAAATGCTTTTAAATTTTGTTATTAATGTTAATATGCCTCATAAATTTTAAAATACTCTTACCTCAGAAATATGATATATCTCTAACTTTTTCCCTTTTATCAATTTTTTGAATAAAAATATTTATATGAACGTTAAATTATTAATTAGTTATGATATTTAGGGTTTATATTGAATGTCTTCTCCTTCAAAAATATTAGTTAGACAATAATTTTTAAAATATTAGTTGATTAAAAGCAATAAAAGGAGAAAAATAAGGAGAAAAACTGTATAAAGTAATGGATTTGTTAATTTTTGTCATTTCTTCCCATTTTTCATTGGAATAGGTTTATTAAATTAATAGATTTCTTAATACAGATGATAGATTGTAACACTCTTAAACTAGTAGCTAAAAACTCCATAGCTTGAGAGAAACGTTGACTAAAATAAAAATATTATCGCATAATGTAAAAATATATCTATTACAGTAACAATCCTCAAATAAAATTCTTACAATCCAAAGGTCACAAATATCAATTCTCAGAATCCTTAAACTCATCATGGGACCTTAGACTATTCTCTCTAAGTCAACTGGAACTTCAATTATACGGCTTACTTGCATCATGAGAATTATATGAGCGCAAACTCAGTAAGTAAATCGTAAATAATTTTCACTTTTAAAATATTTTTCTTTAACATTTAGGGTCCTCTTGTTTAACGTTAGTCTTGTGCTATTAGAACCCCTTTCATGTAGTCCATATCTTAGAATATCTCATTTCTTAAGGATTTTGCCCTTATCATATCTCAGTTCATAACAAACACAAATTTTACATCATACTCAAAAAATACATTTAAAAACGACATAAAACAAATCAACATTAACATATATAAACAGAAAACTCTCTTTGAAAACATAATATTGTTGAAATGATGAAGTGAAATGTATACTTACAAACTAACACGCAATAGAGTAATAACTTTCTCTTCCTTTTTCTCTTTCTATGTTTTTTTTCTCTTATTTCCCACGGTCTTCTTCCTTGGCTTTGCATAGTTGCATGCGAATCCTTATTATGCATATAGGTAGCGAAACTTAGCCAAACTTGGTCATATAACTTATCTCAAAAGTGTTGCCACTAATCCTAAACTAGTGATGACACCTCCTGTTTAAGTAGAGAATATTAAAACTTATTCTCCTGGCATGTAAACCTTGCCACCTCCTGCATAGCTTTTTACACCACATGTTTAAGAAGATAACTTGATAACCTTCTTACTTCATTTATCACAAATAAAACTAACCAGCTTATATGCGTTAATCATAAAAATCTATGAAGCTTAATTTCATATCAACTTAAAATATCAAGGGTGATGAGCAAACAGAAAGGCCAGAGTAAATCCCAGCCTAGTTAAAGCTCGATGCAGTCCAAAGAAAAGCCTCGACTTAGGGGGCAGCTGTTGTGTGAGAAAATATGCTTTGACACGTCGGATGATGACTATGCTCCACGTGTCCCTAACCCGTCACATCAGACAGCGGTCGATGCCTAAAGCTCATTTCCCCCTCTGTCATCCGGTGAAAGGGCCGATCGTATGGGACTATTCATGCAACCGTTGACTCTACACACAGTCAAGGCCCGCATGATTTGTTCTCCGCAGACCAGTAGTACTGTGAGGGGATCGACCGGGACGGAGACCGCACCTTGTGAAATATAATTTAGATGCAGAGAGCAGAACGCATGAGTTTGGGTTCACGTCCCAAGAACGACCTCTGAGGTGACAAGGGGGAAATCCCTAGGTTACTTCTGGGTTTAGAGAAGGTCAGGAGCACAGAAAATGATTACCTGCCCATAAACCACCTAGAACGGACCAATGGAAATCACAGAGGATCGGCAGAGCCGCAATAGTAGACAAAGTGGGTAAGTGAACAGTCCAAAAGGTGCTGAGAGGCTACGGTCTAGGCAGGTATGATAATAGGCTACTTGAGAAAAACCATCAGAGAACCCCCTGTCACAGTCCGCCCTAAATGTACCCATATGTAATCTGTAAGATATAAAAGGGGCAAAGCTCCAGAGAGAGGAGAGAGTTTTTTGTAATCTTTGAAGAAAGAAAGAAAAATGCAGTAACAAGTGGATGTAGCTCTTTCATAATAGAATGAACTACTATAACCTCGTGTGTTATTTTCTTTCGTTTTAACGACAAATCGATACATCTTTAATATATCTTGAAAATCAACACAATCAGTTGCATTTTTCCGATAATATAACCAGTTTAGGCCGGTAACCCAACAGACCACTGAGTGGTAATCCAGCGCAATCTTGTTGACGTAATTTCACTGTCAACAGATGTCATGAGGTCAAAGTTAATTTGGATAAGCATGCAATTTGTACTTTACATATGAACAGGGTGCGGGGGAAAACAATATTGTTATCTTAATGGCACCCCCAAATCCCAGTGCGAGTACATATTAAAAAACAAAAAGAAGGATACGTGATAAATAAAACACATGCATGCAAAAATGCTAGATATTGCTAAAAGGATCATTTGTAACATATATTGTTATTAAAAGTAGAAGTATGATCATGAGTATTCAAGTAATATATATATATATATATATATCGATCCACGAAAGAAAAAAACAGGAATCTTTCAGCGAACTGTTATAATATGGATAGTAAACATAGTTCCAACATACAACAGAAAACGTCAATGAGAGACCTGGAATTTCTTTGCGGGGAAACTTCTTTGCAATTTCTCAAAGGTCCAAATCAAAATGCCATCACTTGGAGAATATTTGGTATTGTTTTCTCCTGTCCCAACACCCGAATTGGACGCATCCAAGGAATTACTGATATCGACGCTGCGTTTTGTATGTCAACTACAGAGGTGGCTGGAGTAGTTGACAAATGTGTGCGTGTGCGTGTGCGGTGCGTGTAATTTCGTCTCTTGCACATGAATATAATGTGAACACAATATATACATAGATATATGTATATATATGTATATGTTTATATGTATTTTTTCTTTTTTTTTCTGCTTAAAAATCATGTGAACGTATGGGGTACTTAGGTCTTAACCTGCTGTAATATTTAACAGCTAGCGTTCACGTACGAGATTGAGCATTAGTCAATCAATAATTAACAGCTAATATTGACTATATGTATAGGAATCAATAGCAAATTTGAATATCATTTCCTTTAAATATATATATGTATATATATATATATATAACAATACATATAATATATGTGCGCACACAGACGTATATATACTTCTTTAGTGAAATAATGGCAAACACTTGAGTCGTTTATAAATAATGTTCACATAATCCATGTCATCTTCAAGAAAATGGAGATTAAATATAATTTGCGTGAAATATACCACCACCTAACCTAACTCGAATGCTATTCTTCTTATGGAGGTTTTTGGTGCCAATAAGTACTTGCTATTGATCAGTACTTCTACTTTCTTTTC